GGGGGGGGGGGGGGTGTCCATGGGTCCTCCCCCAGTCTCTCTTGTAAATGATTCCTCGAGGCTCAATGAGACTAACAACCTGTAGAAATAAAGGTTGAATTGAAATTACTATTTTAGAGAGCAACAACAATTAACAAGCCTGCGTGTGAATGCAGATCCTATCCTGTCAAGTGGCCTAACCCCACAACCCAAGGGTGTCAGAATCATCCGTAATGTTCGGGGGGGGACACAATGATGTGTGTAGGTGTGTGTGTGCGCGCATAAGAAAGTGCACACTAGTGTACAAAAAGGTAACATTTCACCTAGATTTCCTTTAATTCCACACATTTAAAGCATGTTTCTCACCAAGTTTGTGTAAATTCAGCTGTGGATTTTAGAGACATTTTAACTTTAATACACTTTAATACAGAGCGTCAGGTCAGCACTATTTGTGTTTATAAAGAATTAAAAAACATCACCACTAGACATTTTTTACTTGTGTTCAACACTCATCTAAATGATGTTTCTCATGAAGGTTGAGGACAATAAGGTGTGGGGTTTTAAAGACATTTCAACTTTAATGCATCTGAACACACAGAGTCTCTTACACCTGCAGCGTCACAGTTACTGCTAAACTAAGATAGTACAGACGTAGCACTGCTCTCAAGCTGTATATATTTTTATGATCAACCTTCCTGGTCAACAACTGCCCACACTAAGCTCGCTAAACTGGCGAGCGAGTAACACAGAGGTGTCTCCATCTCCTCCACCTGTGCGCATTTTCTGCCGAGGCAAGAGACTCAGAGCAGAAGTACTGCAGACTGCTGCGTTTAGAGTTGGAGGTAACCAGGAAAACCTGGAGTGGAGTTTTAGTGGTTTGAATAATTTCCTATTAATCAAGTGGAATGGATTAGTTCACGAAGAAAGAGAAACTGCGCTGCCTGAACTAATGTTTCATAGTAAAATTTGGGGGGGGGGGGGGTGCCCAAGTGAACATTTTTTTTAATTTTGGGGGGGGGGACATGTCCCCTTCACATATAATAGTTGCGATGCCTATGCCCCCACCTACACCTACACACACACACTGTCCGACCCGAACTCTGCTGAATTCAGTCCTGCGTGTTGTTCTGCTCCATTCTCTATAGCCACTGCCTCTGTTGTCCAGCTAAGGACAATCATCCATCCATTTATTGTAGATAATAGATTGGACTGTCTTTTAGACATTTTGATCACTGTTATTTTGGCCAATGTTGAAACGTGCACGTGAATAATACACATCAAACATTTCACTCGTTTTTTTTGTTTTTTTTTTACTGTAAGCTTATTCATTATGTCTGAAATGTTATGCACTGTAATGTATGCAGGAGTTTCAACAGCAGTTGTGCGCGCGTCCTGCAGAGCTGTCTGGAGACGCTGTGCGTAAAACAAATTTCTGCAGGGGCACAGCTGAAGGTGGATGAAGACACTCCCCATGGGACATGTAGTTCATGTCTCTGCTGGCAGGAGCGTGGTGCGGCCAGAACATCCACTCCACAGTCTGGGCAACGTCTCCTCTCATTGTATCTTTAATAACTAATCAAAATAAAAATGCATGATGACTTTGGACTTTTAGGGGCGGAGTTGGTGGATCTGATGAAAGAGTTGCCGGATCCTAGCGATCAAAATAAGAGAGTTCCCAGATCTTGTTCCGGCAGGATCCGTCTCAAATTAACCGCTGGTGACACATAACAAATGTGACGCATCAGCGGTGATACATAATAGATGCAACGTATACAGCGAAGCGGCGCATGCAGCGAAGCGGCGCATGCAGCGAAGCGGCGCATGCAGCGAAGACGACGCATGCAGCGAAGACGACGCATGCAGCGAAGACGACGCATGCAGCGAAGCGACGTATTTATGTTTTTTTCCACTTTATTAGATATATTTGGACTGATGCAACTTATACCGTGGTGCGACGTGTATGGCAGAAAGTACAGTATTATCATTAACAGCATTGTAAGAGGGTGGTAGTTGAACATGAGACCCCCACCACTGTTAATGATGGAGGCTGGATCTCAGGAGGACCTGACTTAACCTTGTTAGATTTTTCTACTTGGATTACTGAGCAGCATCAGGACTTAGTGACTGTGATCCATTCTGTTTGTTTTGGTCCACTGTTCAGTTTTTATTGGACAAATAAATGAGCAGCAGCACACATTGTTTGCTTTGGCAGGTTTTGAATTGTGGCGCTGCATATGTGTGTGTGTGTATGTGTGTGTGTGTGATACACACCAGCTGGACTGGAGATGGTGACAATGCGTCCTTTAGCCTGTCGCACCAGCGGCAAGAAGTTCTTGGTGACGCACAACGTGCCGAAGAAATTGACTTCCATGCAGCCACGGAAGTTGGACATCAGTGACAGCTCTGCCTCGCCGAAGTTCACACACACTCCAGCATTGTTGACCAAACCCCAGAGACCTGCAGGACACACACATACACAATCACACACAGGTCAGAAACTGGAGTGTGTTGACCCGTTTTTTTTTTATTTAACGTTAAAATGCTGTGCTGCGACAAAGGTTTTGTCCCTTTAGATTCAGTAAGATGCAGAGTAAATACAAAATACAGTTTTTAATAATGATCTTGTTTGTTTATAAGTGTGTGACACAAATGCAACAAAAAACCCAGAAAGAATGCAAAAGGGGTACACTTCTTTCAGGTTTATGTTTAACTGTGCAGAAAAGGAGCTTTTGATGATTGTTGTCGTTCTGACATTGACAAACTGCCTACAGAACTTTTACTTTCACAACTTGAGTTGTTTCTTGATGGTGAAGCTGTGGAGTGTTTTTCATGGTGGGGCCCGCCAGTGTCACTCCACTTCTCCAGATTTATGTGTTGGCTTCATGTGTTGAAACCTGCTGAGGCTCTCTGAGGGTTTACATAACATCTGCAGCCTCGCTCTGTGCAGATAAGACTATGCTCGCATCACCAGCATGCTCAGCTGGAGTCTAGCCAGAGGTTCACCCTCCCTCTCCTGCCTGCTAATGTAAACACGCCTCGCTCGTCCCCGTCTGAGGTGACTGACCCAGAATTCCAGTCTTTGTTTTGGGACACAGTGAGGTCTGTGTTTAGGGTTGAGCTGGTGACTGATAACCCAGAGGACAGAATGTAAACACCTCAGCTGGATCTCCCAGGTGTTGGGAAATGTTTCTATGGTATTAAAGAACACTTCAGCTAAGAGCTAAATATCTGAGCCCCTCCCTCAGCCAGCCCCCTCCTGCACACATCTGACTGTGGTGGAAAAAAGCTCTGTGACCAACAACACACTTGATTTCAGTGAGTAGTTGTTGTAAAATAAAAGTAAAGCTTCTCCTAGCTTTTAGGTTTGATCTGTCGGGACAAATGATTTCATGATTTGAGCAGGTTTAACCATAAATACAACCAATACTTCCCAAAAAGTATTCAGTACCACGAGCTTTAACCTTTAAGGCAGTATGTCACCAAGCTGCCACTGCTAGATCCCAGATGGTGATTCAAATTAAAGTGTGAGAAAAGTCAGATTTTCCACTGAATCTCATCGTTTGTGAGCAAGTTACCATCGTTTTGGAGGGTTCCCAGTTCTTCCTCCAGGTTCCTGGTTCCAGAGGTTGTGCCAACAAGCTACAGCTGATAGTCATCCCACTAATTACCACCAGGGCTATAGGAGGTTGCAAGAGCTTCCTTCCTTGCTGGAGCATTACGTACCTTCTGGTATTTGTGCCATCAGTCTCCTTGTGTTCTTCCTCTAATGCCCCTTTTCCACAGTACCTTATCAGCACGACTCGACTCAGGTCGGTACGCTTTTGAACCCTTTTCCACTATGAATTTTTTGTGGAACCGGCACCTTTTTTAGTCCCTTCTTCTCAAGGGTGCCAAGTGAGCCGAGCCGGCACCAAAATGTGATGTCAGAACACTGACGGTCACTGAGTGGTCAGAGGGCGGAGCCACTAGGGGTTTGAGAATTTTCACAACATTCGATCCGCCATTTGCAATTACTGGTGTTCAAACTCGAGGAGCGATTGGATCCATTTTTAAGCTTTTAAAAACAGTAATGACAACACCATAGTCTAATGCTGAAGTGCAGGCATTTTTTGTGCTTGGTGGCTGACGACAAAATTCAGAGCGAGCTAGATGGAGTCTAGCCAGTCCCCGACTTTCCCCGGTCCTCTCCACCGGAGCCTCGGAGACCCCTCAGGCCGTGCAGGGTGTCATCTGCTTGGCTCCGAGCTCCACTGGTCACCGAGGAAGATCCTCCGTGCTGCCGACTCGGGGCTTAGGCTCCGGATCCCGGCCTTGCATGCTCATCAAGGCCGATCCCGGAAGATGGGCGGACCGGGACGGGTCTGGGACGGAGGGTGGAAAGGATTTAAAAAAACATTTTATGTATAAAAAAAATATGTATTTGTTTTATCAGTGAAGACTGAAAAAATAAATGAACAGTGCCAGCTTCATCATGAAATCCTATTTTCACTTTAATGACTATTAAATAATCTGTTAAAGTTAACTCAGCTAAAAAAATAATAAAAAGACACAAAATTATTGGATCTCTCAGGAATATTTCCCTCAAACATGTTTAAAGTAGAGATACGGCCTTTAGTCCAACTTTATTCTAACCCACAGATTCAAATCACAAAATAAGAATTAAACGCAAAGCTCAAAGCTAAATACAAAAAAAGATCAGAACAAGAAACAAAACCACATATCTAGTTGAATAATAAAAAGTAGACACGAGTGTAAATACATCAAATGATAAAGAAAACCAATAAACTTTTAAATATAGATGCTTTTGTAGAATCTGGTTCATCAGAGATTTAATGGTGAACTAAAGTTCAATAGGAGGATTTATATATATATATACAAATATATATACACAAACCGGATTTCCAAAAATGTTGGGACACTAAACAAATTGTGAATAAAAACTGAATGCAATGATGTGGAGGTGCCAACATCTAATATTTTATTCAGAATAGAACACAAATCACAGATCAAAAGTTTAAACTGAGAGAATGTATCATTTTAAGGGAAAAATCTGTTGTTTCCAAATTTCATGGCGTCAACAAATCCCAAAAAAGTTGGTACAAGTCCATTTTTACCACTGTGTGGCATCCCCCCTTCTTCTTACAACACTCAACAGACGTCTGGGGACAGAGGAGACCAGTTTCTCAAGTTTAGAAATAGGAATGCTCTCCCATTCATGTCTAATACAGGCCTCTAACTGTTCAATCGTCTTGGGCCTTCTTTGTCGCACCTTCCTCTTTATGATGCGCCAAATGTTCTCTATAGGTGAAAGATCTGGACCGCAGGCTGGCCATTTCAGTACCCGGATCCTTCTCCTACGTAGCCATGATGTTGTGATTGCTGCAGAATGTGGTCTGGCATTATCGTGTTGAAAAATGCAGAGTCTTCACTGAAAGGGATGACGTCTAGATGGGAGCATATGTTGTTCTAGAACCTGAACATAGTTCTCTGCATTAATGGTGCCTTTCCAGACATGCAAGCTGCCCATGCCACAAGCGCTCATGCAACCCCATACCATCAGTGATGCAGGCTTCTGAACGGAGCGTTGATAACAACTTGGGCTATCCTTGTCCTCTCTGGTCCGGATGACATGGCGTCCCAGTGTTCCATAAAGAACTTCAAATCGTGACTCATCTGACCACAGAACAGTCTTCCATTTTGCCACACTCCATTTTAAATGACCCCTGGCCCAGTGCAAATGTCTGAGCTTGTGGAGCTTGCTTAGAAATGGCTTCCTCTTTGCATTGTAGAGTTTCAGCTGGCAACGGCGGATGGCACGGTGAATTGTGTTCACTGACAATGTTTTCTGGAAGTATTCCTGAGCCCATTCTGTTATTTCCTTGACAGTGGCATTCCTGTTTGAGGTGCAGTGACGTTTAAGGGCCCGGAGATCACGAGCATTCAGTAGAGTTTTACGGCCTTGACCCTTACGCACAGCGATTGTTCCAGATTTTCTGAATCTTTTGATGATGTTATGCACGGTTGATGATGATAACTTAAAAGTCTTTGCTATTTTACTCTGGGTAACACCATTCTGGTATTGCTGCATAATCTTTCTGCGCAACAATGGTTTCAATTTCAGCTAATTTAGTAGATGAGTGCTTTGACTTGTGTTACACATTTCAGCGTATGTAAACTTACTTAATAGAAATACATTGAGGTCACTTAAAGGGATCTCCGGCTAATTGGAACAATAGACCTTACTTGATAAACATTTACTTAGTGTTAGCTCCAGAGCTAAATTTATGATGTTATCTCAGAGGCTAATAGCATTAGCAACAGTAAATGAACTGCACTTATATAGCGCCTTTCCATCTTATTGAGATACTCAAAGCGCTTTAGACTACTATCTGTGCCTCATTTACCCATTCATACAGCACTCTACTAGATCTCTACAAAGCTAATTGAACAAATCATTCTAAAGAGACTAATCAGAGTTATAGTCAGAGTCAGTCAGAGTTTCTTTATTGTCATTCGCACCTCATTTAGGTCTCTCTTGTAAATGAGTCCTCGAGGCTCAATGGGATTACCTGTCTAAATAAAGGTTGAATGAATGTGGTGGAGCAAAATTATGTACACAGGGTCCCAGTTACATCCAACAATAAAATGTAAAATAAAAACAACGATAACATCTAAGATATGAACTAAGAAAAACATCTACTAAATTTATTTATTTATACAAGTAGTCTCATTGAGCCATGAGAACTCATTTTCAAGAGAGACCTGTTTAGGGAGCACATGATGGTGCTCAGGGGCCCAGAGTGAGGTGAATGAGGGTGGAGGCAGGTGTGGGTGTTTCACCTTTTCCACCCTCATTTTGATGTTGACGGTACTGGGAGGTGAACCTGCGACTTTCCGATCACAATCCCATCTTCTAACCTCTGCGCCACCACTCCCACTTGTTAAATATACACTAAGCACTAATAGCATTAAAAAAAAAAGAAAAAAGAATACGTCGAACATCAGCACAAACATGAACATGAGTCTGTGTGAGCAGATGAGCACGCATGAACATATCAACATTGAAACAGATCAGCAGTAACATAAAACAGATCAGCAGCAACATGATGTGATTTTTTTCACTGTGATTATTCTGGTTACAGATTCATGAGTCTAACAGCCTCAGGGTAGAAGCTGTTCCTCAGTCTAGTGGTTCTACACTTAATGCGCCTCAACCTCCTTCCTGAGGGGAGTGGGGCAAAAAGTGTGTGTGCTGGGTGAGTGTGGTCCTTCATTATGCAGGTGGCCCTCTTGCTGCATCTAGAGGTGTAGATGTCTGTGATGGTGGGGAGACTGATTCCAACAGTCTTCTGTGCAGCCTCCATGCCACACGTTGATGCTGGAGCACAGGATGCTCTCCGCTGCACACCCGTAGAAGGAGATGAGGACTGAGCTTCCCAGACTAATC